TTTTTTAAACACAGTGTGTTTAATTTATGTTCCTGAAAGATATCTTAAAGCATCTGAAGGTAGCGTAAGCTCTCTGGTTTTCTGGAACCACAGATCCACATCAATGAGTTTATATTTGTTTAAATATGCAGAAGGCTCAGGATGGCTGGATTTCATTCACACAGATACTTTTAATAAGGCCTGTTTTTCCTCACTTTCTTTAATTAAAAAAATAAGTGTCACTGGCCATTGGTTCTGTCCATTATAGTAACTGTGGTCACCAAATGGGTTTGTCCTGTAGGCCCCACCCCTTCGTGGGTCTGTGGATCCACTTGCTGTTTAGAATAACGTCTTTAATCTGTCTTTGTCTCCTTAATCTTTGTCTTTTTTCTCTCCTTTTCTCCTCTTTTTCACTTCTTCATCCACCACTCTTCCTTTTCCTCTCCAACAAACATGGCTGCCTGCTGCATGTCTCTTCCAAACTTGCATGTCATCTTATCTATTTATTATTTATGTAATTATATATTTGTCTTCAATATGTTTCCCATATATAAACGTCATTATTGCACTTCCATTGCTTTGTATGATTTCATTAAATGTTCCCAAACACCTTGGTTACCGCTAACCCCCCCAAAGACCCCATTGACCCATCTGAGGATGACCTCTTCCACCTCTTTGATAAATACCCCACTCCCATGCCAGACACCAGCACTCCCATGATCCCCCCAGTGGGGGTCCAAGCTGTGGCTCTGTCCTCGGATTCAGTCCGTGTCTCCTGGGCCGATAACTCTATGACCAAGAACCAGAAGTCATCAGAAGTTCGTTACTACTCCGTCAAATGGAAGACAAGCTACTCCACCAGTGGAAAGTACAAGGTAAATCACAGACTCTCATGTCCATGCTCTGGGTGTTGACATTACATTTGAGAACTTTTACCCTCAGACTTTTATTTTGAAAGTGAAATAAAACCTTTGATTTTGATTGGAGCGAATAAGTGATTAATTAAAGTCTAAAACCTAAACTATAAAAAAAAGCAAATGATCTAATTGTCAATATCTTTAGTATCACATAGTAATGTTGAATCAACAGTAGGACCAAGAAAATAATTTGTTTTGGATTTGTGTATATCTCAATTTCAGACTGATTATTATCTTGTCTCTGCGAAGTGCAAATAAATAGTGGCTTCCACTAAAAATCTAAATAAGCTTTTAGCAAGACATGTATTTTAAACGAATCCTGCAAAATAAACAAAACAGATTACATAATTTTTTTAAAGCTTGGGTATAACTTAGAACTTTAAAAAAATGTATATTACTTAGCTGTTATGATGAGGCTCAAAGCTATTTGTATGGGGCATACTTAGCTGCCTTCAGTATTTCCTTGGGGGTTTGACTTGGGCCTTTAGGACCTGACTTAGGAGCCAGCGGTCATGAGAGATAATTTTGAGGATTTGACAGAAAACTTTGTCATGAGACTTGATTGCATGGATCTGACTTTTGTATTCTTCACTTGGAACCTGTCGATCCTTATAGTTCAGATTGGACAAGACTTACTTGTCTTGGATTAGGGTTATTTCAACAATCTTAACATTGTGCTTAACTTACCATCTATTTGTCTAGATTTACTAGATTTACATTACCTCTTAAATAATGCCTTCCTAATTATTCAAAATTCTGGGACTTCTCTTTACTCATGATTTGTCTTATAACTTAATTTGTTGGTCCAAATTTAGATTTCGACACGAGGTTTAACATGGAGTTCACAGTATCTTGACATTTTGCTTCCCTTAGCATCTACTCATTATGTAAAGCCTTACCTGACAAATGATGCTGTGTTAGATATTTGAAATGAAAGGATTTCAGTTTTAATAATGGGACTTTTCTTAACTTGGGCTTGAGTTTGGACTTGTTTGTCCCAGCTTAGGACGTGACTCTGGAGTTCATACAATTCAAGTCTTGCATGTAATTTACAAAAACAATGAAACAATTACGTCTTTAGCCACTTTCTCTCTTTTAGCTGTAGTCACAAATTGAAATGATGTTGTATACACATTTATTATTTACCCTAATTTCAAATATACCGTATCAGTATTTCTCCAGGATGTGCAGTCTCACAACTGCATCTCCACCTCCTGCTGCTGTTCATTTATCAGCTTACAGGAATTAAAGTTCATACCTTTCATCTCCATCTCATTCCTTCACTAACATTTTTACAAGTGCCCCATCTGTTGCTGCTGCTCAATACCACCAAGAATAATCATGCACACCCCTCTTGGAGAATGGAGTCGTCTTACAAACCAAAGTTTATTAATAATTTTTTACACTTTTGAAGCTTCTATTGACATAAAAAATCTCTCAGTTGGCAGAAAGAACTTAAAATTTTAGGCAGCACTGTTGCAGTGAAGTAGTAAAAACACAAGGGTTGTATCATTAATGGTGGTCTGAAAGCAAGATAAAAAAAAATCCTTGTTCGATTTTAGGTTACTGAGTTTCCCTGGAAAACCAAACTCTTGAGAACTTGTAAGAGTGAAAAAGACCTTAGAAAAAATAATCTGAACTGTGCTCCCATAATACTGTAAAAAGGAAATCTATACAAGGGCAGACTCCATTGTTCTTAATAAAGAGTAGACAAAGAGAAAGTGGCAACATCTTTGCTTCTTCTTCCCTCTCATCAGACATCAAAGTTTGGGAAGTAGACACTATCAAATTTTAATAAAAGTCTAAAGTTGTAAATAACTGTATTATATTTCTATGTTTAAACCTTTAAGCTCCTCAATAATAATGACCTCAGGGTTGGAATAGGACAAAAAATTGGCCCTGGTATTGTTGATCCAGGCGCCCCACCACGATCACTCCCACAGCATAGGGTTTAGGGTTAGAAATGTGATTTTATTTTATTTTTGTAATTTTATCCGTTGATTGTATTTGCTGTATATTTTATCTTTTAATAGCACCTTTATTCTCGTATTGTTTAGTTTAACATAAAGCCATCTAAGCTTCCAAATAATGTCATGTGTCCAGTCTGCAGACACTACGGCCCTCAGCCACACGGTCACTGGCCTCAAACCAAACACCATGTACGAGTTCGCTGTTATGGTCACCAAAGGCCGCAAGTCCAGCACCTGGAGTATGACGGCGCATGCTACGACATATGAAGCAGGTAAGTCTCACAGCTTCTGCCCTTTGTTAGGATCTCATAAACATAGTAGGTCTGACTCTAACTTTAAGCCGAACCTGTTTCTGAACCTATTTCCCAAACACAAGACCACCCAAACAGGCCCTTTAACCACATAGCAGTCAGGGAAGCGCTAACGATTCCCATCACAGACAACCAACACGTGCCTCACATTCAACTGCAAGTGCACAAACTGTAGCTGTGCCAGATAGAGACAGAGCACAGTTTGGCCACAGTTTTACCACACCAAGAAATCTGCATTCTGTGAAGATCCTTTCTCACTTTCTGAAAGCTGCTTATTGGTGGGATGAGAGGGGAAAGTTGGTAGAGCTCACTTTGAACTGAACCTTACTGGAGATTAGAGAAAGGCAGTAAGTTTATACAGCAAATATTTTCTCATGCATGCAAATATGCAAATATTTTTAGCTTCCCTTTTTTCTATGCAATCATTAGCTATCTACTACCTATGTAAACTTGTAACTTAATCGAAAGGCATTTTATTAGTCTTTCAGCCCTTATTTGCACAACTTGTTTCAAGCTACTGTAGAAGATTTATTTACATTGTGCTTTTCACATACATGGGGCACAAAGCACTTTAAGAAATCAAGAAACAGGGTGCAGAACTAGATTTAAATCAAAAATAATTTTTTGAAAATAATTTTCTGGGACTTTAAATTAAAGGTTGCTTTGTTTCTCTGAGCACTGTTGGATGTCCTTGATTTAAATCAACTTAATGCAAATGAAAAGCAGCCAACTGTATATCTTATTGCCTTAACTGAGTAGCTATGATGCCAGATTGCACTGCTGATTACACAACCCTGAAAACCCTGGTTTGAGGTGGATCATTTGTTTATTTGTTTTTTGTGAATGTATTGTGAATCTTTGACTGACATTTATTCATTCATTGTGCAGAAACTTTAGTTTCTACTGAAAGTAACATTTAGGGAAAAGGGCAGCTTCAGGAAGCATGGGTGCACCAAACAATGAGATGCATTACTCTATTTTCTTCCCCTCCCTGAACAGCAATTACTTTTAATAAGAAGTTTAACTATGGATAGAAATGATGTTTTGGTTCAGTGAACAGTCATCTAGAAACTCCACTCTCTCCCGCAACAACACAACAACTCAGCAATGCAGCAATGAAACCCAACCGCAGACAGAAATCAAAATGTCAAGGTATCCCTTTCAGGATGTTTACAATCATGTTTGCCGGATTTGTCACCCAATTAAGCGTGAACGGCATTATGGCCCCGGTTCCCTGGGGCCTGTTGGAATACATTGACATTCAGAGTGAGCAGACGGACTGAGCCCACTCAGTCCCTGCAGTGATCCACTGGCTCTGGAGGCACACACTGACCATATTTTCACAACAATACACATACTGACCACTTTTTAAAAAGCAAAACAAAGTAAATACTGCATTTACTGCAGCTCATAACGTGTCCGTCTTACTATGAAAAATAGGAAATGCAGATATGAGAAATATTTCTGTACATTAGAGTGTATCACATGATGATATTGGTGTATTTAAAAGCTATAGACACTTGGACACCAGGGGATGAACCTTGATGAACCTGAAGATCTTGCTCCTTGTGTCATAATTGCATTACTGTTATTAGCACCATCTCATGTATGTGGTCCTCACATGGAGTTGCCTGAAATAAATGATATAAAAAGCATTGAGAGGACTTTGCTTTAAAAATGCATTTTTTTCCACCTCTTTGAAACTAATGGGTCATTAACAAGCCACTCAAGGGTAGGGTTAGTTGACCTTCTCCTAGGCCATAAGCATAGTTTCATATTCATTCATTCATATTTCATCTCTTACATCCATTTCAGTATGCCATACTAGTAAAAGTTCAATGTAATGGATGGATGTGAACATAACCAAAATGAGAAACTTTGAGGCTTCTCCACAGTGTCTTGTTCCTAGGATAGAACTCATTTGGACAGTGACCTCTGATATGGTTGGATTTTATTTTATTTGATTCTATTATTGAATCTTCCTGAATTTTCTGTCTGCTGGGATCGCCACATCTGTCACAACTGCAGTCTTGTCAGCCCGTCAGCCTATCTGGTTGGTTACCCAGCAGCTGCTTGTCTGTCTGGAACTCAAAGGCACTTGGTTGTGCCTCTCAGTGTGCATGACCCTAGCTTGCATCATGCTACTATATACTGGATCATCTCCCGAGCACTCCCGACAGTCTGCAACCTGTGTTCATAAAGAAATTACCATCTTTTTCCAAGCATTTATTCAGTGAATTGAACCCAGTTACCTTTCACATTTCAGTTAAATCTGAGATATCTGGCAAAGTTGTCTTTTCAGTGTGTTTTGTTTTCATTTTCAAAATGAACTTGATTTTTGTCAATAAAAAATGCATGTGGGTGATCGATTGCTTGGTGGAGCAATGAATAGGTGATTAAGCTTTCATACGGTGTATGCTACTTAGACTGCATTTGTTGGTCTGGACAGTTTTGCCTTAGAACAACAATAATCCTCTCTCTCTCTCTAATGAGCTATTATTTTTAGGAATCTGAAGCTTGTTTTTGATTAGTTGTGATGGAGGTCTCTGCAGAGTCAAAATGGCTTTGAGCTAATATTCCAGCAAGGGTTTATAATGTTCCTCGGCTCGCTGGGTTGCTGTACCACACAAGAATTTAGCCTTTTGACAAATCTTGATGTGTTGCAGCGCTTTCAGTGCTGCAGCCTCCCCTGGGAGCTGATAATCTAAAATACCACCCAAATCCTTCAAAATAAAAAACAAAACATAACAAAACACAAAGTATGTCTGCCCACAAGAATTACTCATAGTTTTGAACAAATAAATAAATAACCTCACTACCTAAAGCACTGCTATGGTTAATCTGCTGCTTTTTCCTTTAACATTTTAGGATTAAAGTCAACTTTATTATTATTACACATGTATAAACACAGGGTAACAAAATACAGAGTGTGTTTTTAGTGTTCTTCTTCAGCATTTTTGCACAAATTACTCATGCTGATTATATTATTTTAGAATAGAAGAGACTCTACATTCATGTTAAAAAGAAAATTCAACAAAGTACGCCGTTGGCCCTAACCTATAAGAATTAAGAGGTTAAGGAGCAGTCAGGTTGTGGTAGTCAAATTGTTCTGGCAGTTGATGGGATGGAGCATTTTGCCAGGTGTGGATGTCCCTAAAAAGTCAAGGTCACACCATGATGTCCTCAGAGAAGTTGCAAAAAATCTAGGAACTACATATCAGACTTTAAAGGACAGTACAGACCACAGTGCAGATTTTTGGCCATAACGTATTTCGCTACATCTGGGAAAAACAATAGCAGCACAGCGGTGGTGGAGGGCTGATGTTTGGTTTCAAGTTCCTCTTCAACTTTCTTTCCACTTTTAGTTTTGGCCAACTTCTTCCGACAGATGCCCTGTGGCTGGGAACTGTACCTAGTTTGAGTCTTTGGACAGTTCTTTTTAACCTAAGTTGTTCGCAAGGAAACACTGAGAAATAAAAACAGTAGATTAAACATTCATTTCTAAATGAGAGTGAGGAGTCACAACTGCATGCCATGAAAGCCAAAATGATGGTCTTTCTATTTGCAATCACAAAGCCATGATCCAAAATTCATATTATTTTCTATTATTTTCTATTGCGTATTTTTTAACTCGGTTTTAGCTTTAAAAATTTGACTTAATATGCTTGTAACCTAAAGAAAGCTTTCATGAGAATATTGGTTTTAAATCCTTAATATGTAATATAAAGAATAACCACACAAAAAGGCTGTATCTGTTACCTGCAAAGGCCTGTGAAGTATCCTCTTAATATTCTTATTCTTCAATGGTTTCATTTGTTTTTGTTTTTAAAAAAAAGCATCACTCACCTCCAACTCAACAGCACTCATATCATATCAGTGACAACACTTGAGCAACCTGTGTAGCTGCTCAAGACCTTCAGGTCCCACTGACAATAATTGTCTGAGAGTAACTCTGTCATTTGGAAGTCCTTGGTGTCACATTTAAATCCTGTTGTGTTTCTAAGTTAAAATTGTTATTTTGGTGACATTTATTATGGTGATCATCTTCAATAGTCAACAATTCAGGATCATTGACTACAAATTGAAAATAGTTTTAATTATATCTGCTTTGAGTGCTGGAACCACTACTTTAACCAGCAGGTGTGTTCACAATGTATTTTCTCAAGGTTTTCCTCTATATTTATGATAAGTACAGGTTGTCACCATCACTAACAGGCTCAGCAGGAACTTGTAATTTCCTCCAGCTCGTCTTGTCAGATTTAACAAGCAGTTTCATTAGCCAGCTCTGGGGGGCAAGCTTTGAGTCCTTTCCTGGTGTGAAACTTAAAAACTCGTCTTTAATCACATCTGTAACTCAGGAAGCACCCGCAGCCATCACATCACAACACACTACAGATCTAATAGGCTGCCACTTAGTTTCCATGGTGATGGTTGGAGGAGGACAACAAGCCAGAGTCTTTCTTGTGAGGCCGAGCGCTTGACATTTTCACAACAGAAGCAACACAAAAGGGCAGTTCAGGAAAGTGTTGAAAATTACCTTCTGTACAATTTCCTCAAGTTCAAACACAGCAGAAAGTCACAACAAAGCCAAAGAGCAGCTGAACTGAGCTCATTATAGATTATTGTCCACTCTGGAACTTCCCACACAGACAGACGTTGTGCAAATGTTTAGACTAAACAGTGAAAGGGAAAAGCCGTCTGTATGTGTCTGTCTGATCCAGCATGACTGTCTGATCCAACCATCCATTTAACAACCAAGTATACAAATACATAAAGTGCCAATCAAATGTCCAAAGTAACAAGTTTACATTATTAAACAACAGCTAGGAAAGGGAAATTCTTTGAAGAATTCCAGCATAGGGCTGGGCCATATCATACTGTTCACGATAATACCGGTATAATGTTGGGCAACAATAAGAAAATGAAATGTTGTGATAGAATACGGGTAAAACGCACATGTGCAGTGCCTTTGTTTTCATACGGTGGAAAAAGCATGGCGGAGAATGAGAAGGGCGAAAGCGGATAGTTGAATGAAACAGATGAACCAGAATTGGTTTGTAAAAATGCTCCAACTTCAGTGGTGTGGAACTGGTTTAGCTTTCATCCGTCAGATACACAACAAAGCACTATTTTTGGTAGAGCATGCTAGCGGGCCGTCGTTATTACCGTGTTTTTTGGAAAATACGGCACACTTAAAACAATCCTTTGATTTTTCTGAAAATCGACAGGTCCCCTTATAATCCCGTGTGCCTTATGTATGAATTCTGGTTGTGTTTACTGACCTCGAAACGATTTTATGTACACGGCGCTCGAAAATCTGTCAAATGTTTCAGTACGACTTTGCTAAGCTACGAACCCGCACCGCTTGATGGATTGTTGAAGCATTACGGCTATCGTAGGCAGGAGCCTCGCGGAGTGATACGTACTGTGCTTCAACATAATATTACCGTATTGTGTGTGTGTATAACCTCTTTTTAAGTTTTGTGGATATTATACATGGTTATGCTGAGGATATGTCGGCCAGTTTCCACTGAAAATGCCTTTTGGTTAAACTGTCAGCAAGGAATTTGCATTTACACTGTTAACTTTTTATATAACTTTAATGCACTAATAAAGTTGTGGAGTTGTAAAGTATTTTCTCTAGTGTGAACTATATCGTCAGTTATATCGTTATCGCAAATTTTCAAATGTATATCGTGATAAATATTTTTGGTCATATCGCCCTGCTCTACTCCAGCAATTGATTCTGTCAACAGAAATTCAGTTGTATTTTTCAATAAGCTTTTGGACTAATGGACAAAATAAGTCTGAAAGGAAATAAAATGTTTTAATATTTACCCATTTATTCAGCAAACTAATGAATTCAGTTCAATTAATATAGCGTCACTTAACAACAAAAGCCACGTCTAGAGACTTGAGATTGTAAAGTACAGACCCTACAATAATAGAGAGAAAACTCCACCAGTTACAGGACCTCTTAAGACCAAGTACTTGGTTACAGTGAGAAGGGAAAAACTCCCTTTAACAGGAAGAAACCTCCATCAGAACCAGGCTCAGGGAGGGGGAGCCATCTGCTGTGACAGGTTGGGGTGAAAATTGTCATGTATTTTTATTATATTCAGAGAATAAATTCACATCATGTGACACTATGAACCGACTACACTACATTAATAACTTTACTATGCTCACCAGTAAACTGCAAATGCCTTCTCTTGCCAAAAAGCTCTTCTAGAGAGCCAGTGACATCACCACAAGGGACCTAAAAGTTCAACATGTAAAGGTTCTGCGTGTCTTTCCAGTGACACTCTGCATTTGAGCAGGGTTTGGTTGTTACATGTAAGTAAGAAATGTGGAGTGTGTAACAAAGAAATCATGAAGTGCTATCTGTTCCATTTAAAACTGCCTCCTTCCCAGATTGTCTATGCCCAGTTTCATTTGTGTTGTAGCCACTGTAGCCAAAGACACTGTAACCTCTCAAACTGCTTCTGTTTTGTTGACAGCTCCTAGCTCCGCCCCCAAAGATTTAACAGTTATAAGCCGTGAAGGACGACCCCGTGCCATTTTGATCAGCTGGCAACCACCTATGGAGGCCAACGGGCGAATCACAGGTGGGTCTTTGCACATAAACACACGGGTGTACCGCTGTAGTTTTCTGTAATAACACATACTTTTGATTAGAGTTGAAGTTTCTGATGATTTTTTTCAGCTTAAGGTTTATCATTTAGTCTGAAAGTAGATCGAAAACATCAACACACTCTTCAGGACTACATGAACCCAGCTGCTTTGTGTATCCAAACGCACACACCTAACACAATATCTTCCATTGTTCCATCTCTCCTCCCCTGGGCGATCAGCTCGGCTGTAAACCCGTCTGTTTTAACGAGCTCCGCTGTTCCTGCAGCGTCCCCGAGGACGAATCAAACGCTCCCTGCGGGCATAACAGCACAACACAGACTTACTCTCAGACACACAGATCGCATATTTTTAAACCCTCTACTTGTTTCTGTTTTACATCCTAAATGTTTTGTTTTTTCCTAAATGTTTTTAACATTTGCTTCTAAATGGCATGTACCCAAACATTCTGGGTATCAGATCGTAGTTCTCAGGTTTTTCACTATAATTATTCATATTTTGCAGCACCTTTCAGTGACGCACTTGTAAAAAAAAAATTGTTCTAGTCACGTTGACCTGGTTCCAGTTACAGTTCAGATCACATCCGCCTATTATAACAGAAGAACTGTTTCGTATGCAAAAGGCTTGATTTTATATAACACCTTTCTATCTTCTCAAACTATGTTTTTTTAGAATTTAACTAAAATGTAACCTAACTCTAACTACCCAAGTGGTTCACCAGTAGATGTTAATAGGTTAAAAAGATGACTATTTTTAAAAATACATATTATTACTCATATAATTACAACTCGTTCGACAGGTTACATTCTGTATTACACTCTGGATAAGAACATGCCAATAGACGACTGGGTGATGGAGGCAATTAGTGGCGACCGACTAACCCACCAGGTTGTGGATCTGAACCTCGACACTGTTTACTACTTCAGGATTCAAGCCAAAAATGCCAAAGGAGTCGGCCCTCTATCCGAAGCCATCCACTTCAGGACAGCCAAAGGTGCGTCCGAGTGTGTGTGAGACTGAACACCCGTTCCTGCTTTACCTGTAAATGTATTCCTTTGTTTCATATTTTATAAATTAGCTCACACTCTCTGTTGGTTTTTCAGTGGAGCATCCAGACAAGATGGCCAACGATCAAGGTAGGCTTTTTTCATCTTCAAAGTGGTTTCTCATCAGACTGTCTGACTTCAAGGCAAATCATGTCTGAAGGTCTGAATCATCCTCAATCTCCAGTAAACAGTCATTTTAACTTTCATGTGAGCAGTTATTTTTTATTTTGAGTTCAATCTGAAAATTATACTCGTGTTATTTGATCTTCAGATCATGTTTTGAATACGATTAATCTTCATCTCTCACAAGTTTATTTAAGTTTTGTCTGCCTTTGCAACAAGTTGTAAAATGTTACATACTCCTGAAATTGTGGCATGACATTCAGTTGAACTGAAAACCCGATTCACAGACTTCAAAGATATAGAGCTGAACACACAAACTCTACACTGACAGAGACTTCATAAGCTTTTCAGGATGAGGCTCAGACTGTACATGCATGTAGCCATTGTGATGTCACTCACTGGTTTCCACCCTTTGTACTTTTAAGTATCAATGTTAACATTTTTCTGGCTTTTTGTTTTAGCCTGAGCGTGTATTTTGTCATGGATCGCTGTGTGGCAGGCAGGATGAGGACCCAAAAATGCAAAACTCACAGACTCAGGGGATGAACTCAAAAATCACAGCTTTACTGCTGGAGAGGCAGATCGCAGGAAATACAAAACTAAACTGGGAATAACAAACTAAGCACTCGCAGAGAGACACGGAGATCCACACAGCATGAGGGAGAACGCGACACGGAACTGAGGGAGACGCAGACATAAATACACAGAGGGTTAACGAGGGAAGTGGGAACACATGGGGAACACAGGTGACACTGATAATCATAACGGGACAGGGCGGGGTGAACATAACATGACGTTTACAGGCGCGGGAGTCACAAAGTAAAACAGGAAGTACACGGGGGTTCAGACAGGAGGGGAGAGAGAGAGCACAGGAAGAACATAGACATAACGGGCAGGGGAAACATGGAATAAACACAAAGAGAGACGAGGGCTCATAAATACACAGAGGGGCACACGGGGGGTAAGAGTCACGAAGGGAAAACACTTAGGGAACAACACACCAGGACAACTCAGGAAACATGGCCTAAATAAGGAACGAAATAAAAAAAACAAGAAACTAAGAATACTGGGCCCACATGGCCCAGGACCATGACATATTTATACAGTGAAACTAGCAAAGAATAATAAATAATAAACTTATTTACATAACACCTTTTAAAACAAAGTAATAATTTCCCTGTCTTCGAAGACAAGACAGGGAAAAAACAATGATAATACATTTAATAATATGAAGGTGAAACAACGTATAGGTAGGGAGGTAATAGCAGCACTAAGAGATTAAAAGTGAGGAATGAAGATAATTAAAAATGGAAAACAGGTAAATTAAAACTAAATATGAAATAATAAAAATGATTACTTGGAAAAGACGATGATAAAGAACAGAACGAAACTCAAAGTGGAGGCACGGAAAAGGTCAGCTTATAGAAATCTGTCTGAAAGATGGATTTAAAAGACGAGAAGGAGCCAATCTGACCTGCTCAGGGAGGGAAGTCCAAAAAACGGACGCCCCAACTGAAAAAGTATGCAGAAAATACTCAGTTATAGACTACAGATATTTGAACAAGATAGTAGACTGTTAATAATGCAAACAAGCGTAGTATTCATAAACTGTACTGGTACAAGGCACACAAAAAGAAATATGAGAGTTAATGAGGAACAAGCCAATAACATTCTATTAATGTACTCACTAAAACTAAAGTACAGATTTCTTGGACAGTCTGTTAATGTAATTAACTGCAGAGCAACCCTTATTATTTGTCAAATGATTCCACCAAAGAGGCTCCAAAAGGGCATAAACAGCACAAACACGGCTGAGAAAGTCCAGTTCAGTGAAGTGAAAAATCAGTTCAGTAAAAAAAAATCACTTGCAGTTGTTATGAAGGAGTAAGATTTTTGTAGAGCTCAAAGAGCTGCTGTAAGCATGTTGATTTCTCTTGATGGACATTTTAACATGGGAGTCTTTGTGGACTAACTTACTTTTAGAGTCAGCGCCAAGTGGTCACTAATGGAACTGCTGTTTTTGGCATTCTTTGTTGGCTTTATGTTAAAATGTGGGAGGTTGCTGCTTTGAAATACACTTTGTAAAGATAAACTGAGCAACACTCAAGAGCATCAAGTATGTATGCAAGTAAAGCTGATATCTCAAAGCACTGCTTCCATTTCTGTTTCTGGAAACTTTAAAAACCTCGAGTCAGCATGCAGTCTGAGTGCAAAACGCTAATGTGATACTATAAGGTCGTTAAAGTATGATAGGGTTTGATCATTGAGTGCTTTGTATGTTAGGAGGACTTTAAGTTCTGCATTTAAAACTAAATTAAGGACTTTTAATGTTTTGTTGTTTGCTCATGGATGAGCTCATCAGCATCACTAAGAGATAGGATGTTACTAATTCTGAGAAGACTTCACACATCACAGAATCTGGGCTGGAGATTTTTTTATGCATGAAAAATTTAAGTATGTGTATCATGTCTTTGCATTCAAATGAATGAGGTCTATCTCTGCCAAGTGCCAAATTTTTGTAAACTATGTAAATTTAAGTGCCAGTAATCAGGCACTTTAAAGTTGTCTCTGGGCAGTATTGCTACAGCTCCTGTTTGTGTTGATGGCAACCAAATACCAAACAAGAAAACAACTCTTCCGTTCAACTGAGGCAGTGTCTCTGCTTCCTGTTCTTCTTGAAGGGAGATCCCAGAATCCTAAAACCCATGGTGACAAATCACTTACCAAAAAACAGAAAAACTGACTGAGAAGACAAATGTAAAAAGAGAAATTTACCCAATGTTCTTCCTGTCAGAATGATTTTTTCACTATAAGTTCATCAAATTAACTCAGGCATAATTAATGCACTGTTCACAGGTTTCTATTCATAAGCAGAAGAGCACACGGTGTTAATGAATGTGCAAAACTTTTATTTTCAACACTAAACTTTGTTATTTCACTGCAGGCTGGAGAGCATTCCTTTATGTTGGATTTTATTTGTAATGAATGTTGATATCAGTATGAAACAGATTCTCAGAAACAAAGATAGCCACTGTGGTCAGTCAAGTCCCATTGTCAAATGATCAGTGAAGAAAGTGTGTTGGGATGGAAGGAGTACTTTGAGGAGCGGACAAAGAAAATGAAAGAGGACAGATGAAGGACTGTTATTGAATCATGAAGTGTAGCGTATAGTAAGGAGAAAGTGAGGGCAGCTATGAGGGTGAAGAGTGGAACATCTTGGTTGGTGCAGATGACATACCTGTGCAGTTATAGAGCTGTCATATCTAAACATATTAGCTAAACATATTCTTTAGCACAATACTAGAGACTGACAGGATGTCTGAGGAATGGAGAAAAAGGTGTACTGGTACTGATTATGATGTATAGAGCTGTAGTAACTACAGAGGGATAAATTTGATGACTCATAACTTAAAGCTATGAGAAAGAACTGTTGAACCTTGGTTAAGTAGTGAGGTGATGAAGCCATACGACTTCATGCTTGTGAAAGATGTAGAGAAGGTCTGATGAGGTTGCACTGTGTCTTTTGAGGATTTGGAGAACGCAGATGATAGGGTGCCAAGAGAGGAACTGCATGAGGAAGTCAGGAAACACAGAGAAGTATTTGAAGGTGATACAGGACATGTACAAGGACAGCGACACAGTGGTGAGGTGTGGTGTAGTGACAGATAGGTTCAAAGTGAGGGTAGGATTATCTTAAGGATCTTCTCTGAGTCCTTTCTCGTTTGTTATGGTGATGCTGACAGATAAACCTCTGTGAACCATGAGGTATTGAAAGTAGGGAGCAGCTGGAAGTGAGCCTGAAGAGGTGGAGGTATACTCTGGAGAAAAGAGGAATGAAAGTCAGTAGAAGTAAGACAGAATACACGTAGGTGAATTACAGGGAGACAGGTGTAATAGTGTTAAGTGCAAGAAGCAGCGGTAGTGAAGGTGGACAATGCACATGAGAGGTGAAGAAGAGGATGCAGACAGGGTGGTGGGGATAAAAATGAATGTCATGTAGCAGGTATCATCTTTTCCTCCTAACAGGAGGAGGAGGCTGAGCTGAAGGTGTCAGAGTTGAAGATGCTACGACTTTAACTGCAAGTGACCAGAATAGACAGGATCGGAAATGAGACCTATAGAGAGGCAGCTCAGGTTGAACATTTTGGAGACAAAGTTCGAAACATGGTTGAGCTGGTTTGGACCAATGTTTCTCCTCTGCACACGTCCAAACCAAGGACTGTAGAAGTCATTGGTTTGGACGTGTGCAGAGGAGAAACATTGGATATAGTGCACAAAGGATTTTGAACAAGAACAAAAAAGAGAGAAAGAAAAAAGGCACACACCAAACACCTAGTTCCTCCATGAGGACATGAAGACTGGAAACAGTCATCTGTTAACGTAAAATGCAATATTCTTTCAGAAGTGGCTAATGTTGTACTAAAAAAAGGTTTAAAATTTTTAGACGTTTCTCACAATGACATTGACTTCAGTCTTTATCACAATAGTCATTTGTTAAACATAATAATTAACTACAAAAGTAAGCACACTCATATTTGATTGGTTATTTCAGTGATTTGCAGAAAGATACGGAAGAGGATTGGGGCACTGGGGAAAAAAAAGTGGGCACATCTTTTTTCTCTTCTTTTCCAAAAAGTCAGACTTTTTTCTCAGAATTCGGACTTTAATCTCAGAATTCTGACTTTTTTCTCAGAATTCTGGAAAAGAAGAAAAAGAAAAGACGTGCCCACATTTTTTTCTTCAGTGGCCCTAATCCTCTTCCATAGAAAGATGTGGCATCATGTAGGCATCCATACACTCTTTCCCCCATTGGAACAGCAACTATGTTCACTGAGTCACATCATTCAATGAAGGCTGAGGTCTCCAGTTTGAGGTTCTTGAGCTTGTCTTTAACTGAAGAGGGCAGTTCACCATTTTCAAGGACTGAGCTCCCATGGTGTGTTGTTATAGATAAAAAGAACGGCATCACTTTTGCACTTTTGCACTTCTGAACAGATAAACCACCACTGAGTGTGAGCTAGGATTTACTGCTTTAACAGCTTGCTGCTTTGAGACTTGATATGCAGTAGTCTATATTCGTTGTTCATGTTCATTGAAAAGTTTTTTTAATTTGATTTTTCTTCATTTCACAGCTCATATAAAAATACTTCATTCAGTCAAAAACAGGTTATATGCAAATATTTGGCTCTTTGCATATAACCTGTTGTTGCCAACCCACTGTTAGATGACTGAGAGCATATTTTTAGTTGGTTCCAATCATGTTTGCTAGATTAGCCAGGTTCATGTTTAATGTCTTAACATAACATCCATATGGTTTTAGGTTTGGTCAACATTCACCCCTTTTTATAGAATTGTCCCCAGTTGTTCTTAAACCTTCTTTCGGCTTCTCCTGTTAGGGGTGGCCCCTGCCTCCACCTCACCCACCCATGGTATCCTCCTGTGTCACATCTACATATCCTCCTTCGTATATCCATGAACCTTCTGTGTATCCCTGTATCTTTTCTACAGAATTTTTCTCCAGCTAGAACTAGAAAGGATTTTAACAAAATGCCAAATTGTGTGAGCTATTATTTAAAAGGTAAAATCTTCTAGTTTATGAATATTTGCCTGTTTAGTATGTGGTTAAACACAAATCCTTAACCCTAGATGGGTTGCCCATAAACTGATGTAGGTTAATGGACTGGGCTGTCCTCCAGTCTGACTTTCACCAGATTTCCAGTACTTAGTTCAGTGTAACAGAAACAGAACGGACCTCAGACCCTCTTTGTCCTGGGAATTTTTAGTGCATCTAGACTTAAGTGCAGCGAAGCGCTTTAGGCGTTGGGACTTAGCTCATGTGTCAGGGTGTTAAATGGTGCTGTTTGTCACTGACAGTTGTGTGTATGTGGTATGTGCACATGTACACTCTGTGGTCCCTCTCCATATAAATCAGAGGTGTTGTCAGGGGAGGAGGGAAGATTGATGCCTGGCCCTGTTTCTGTGGACCTTATGCTCTGTAAACACATTTACACGCTTTCACTCACACACAGCCATAAATGCACTCGCACTGGCAGACTGAAGAAAAAGAATTGATTAAAGATTTCAAAATCCTACTTTAATGAAAACTGGGTTGGGTAGATTGAAAAACATAAACAATTCCAACATTTTTATATTTCAACAAACTGAAAGTGAGCCCAGCTGCTGCTGCTCGATGGTACGTGAGAAAGAAATCAGCTTTTAAAATGTGACTTTAAGTGAATTTGAGATATGGGGGTCTGTAGCTTCAGTTTCCTGATGGGAGCGACAGTGCTGAGGTTTTGAAAATCTCTTTCATCAGTTTCCAGTCTGTCTTCTCTGGCAGCCCGTGTGATGATCTACTTCCTCTTTAAAGTTTTTCCTTCAGTGCTCTGCATTCACATATTGGCCTCGCCTGCTGCTTTGTAAACTAGGGTAAAACACAAAAATGACTATTCAGAAAAGTTTTTCACCAATATAGTGGTCATGCAAATGAGGCAAACTATAAAGGCAACCCATATAAATGTATTGTTAAGTCAACTTCTTCCATCCAGATCCACTTTGGAGCAACACCTAAAATCATATACCGAAAAGAAACTCTTACTTTATGAATAAAAAATATCTTACCTCAGCAAAAATATCTTAAATTTTCTGACTCAAGCATCGGCAACACAGATAGGACAGGAGGTTTTTTTCATTTTAAATAATGATCTGTGGCCTTGTCTATACATCCCAACTACTCTGTGGAACAGTACACAAAATGCCAGCACTGACTTCTCATTACATTACTGATAGGGGTGTAACTGGAGATTTTAAAACTGCTGCAGCTCAGAATGCACAGAATACCATTTGTATTGCCCAGTGCATCATGCTAATCAACCATCCTGTGCTGTGGTGGTTAATGTTTAAGGTTATTTTAAGTATAGTTAATTGAAATTAACAAAACATTTTAGTAAACTAAGGTAAAAAATAAAAACCGGACTTCATAAAAAATAAAGTAATCGAAACTATTTAGTGAACTTGGAAAACAGACACAATAAAACTAAAATACAGAGGAAATATCTGTCAAACATATTTGTATTTTTTAAATTAATTTTGTAAAGAAAACAACTAAATCCAACACTGAAACATTTTCAAACAATAAACCTAAACTGAAATTCACTCTGGACACTAACTGAAACTGAACTGAATTAAAACAAAAAGTCAACATAAAAATTAAATCTAATTAGAAAATTAAAATTATTAATGTCTGCTTATACAATGCTTGCAAGGTAAAGACTGAACTGAATACTAAAATGTCTGTTTATCATGTCTGTGGTCAATGTTTTCAAGTGAGCACAGTAGGCTAGCTCCAATTGTTAATAATGCTAGGGTTGAGCCCTACTCTGATTGCCAGGAAATAGCCAGGAAACTATAGAAAGGCATGAAATGCCTGCCAGTATGTCAATATCAGTATTGGCATCAACACTAAAAAGTTCCTGTTGGCTCAGCCTTTACTAGATATTCAAACAACAGTTGATTATTTGACAAATTAGTCTTTGAAATATTTTCCCCACAATGTAGTATAATAATATGAAGGACAACACAAAAATAAGACAAAGAATTGGATGATATAAGCACATCATTAGTGAAACTTAGCTGACTGAATTGGCTTTGTAACTGATAAACAGAGAAACTGACTGTGTCCAAACACAAATAAAATGCTGTTAGATTATCTTTGTCACTAACTTACACATAATTAAAGTCTTGATTCTATCTAAGCAGTTCAGAATGTGAATACTATTGCACATAGAAGACTGGGTTCAGGATTACCATCTACATTTATTTAACTTTGAGGCAGAAACTCAATAAACTGTCTTTAGCTGGCTGTTTCTGAAGTTTTTAGTGCATCAGCCAGTGAAGGTTAAATTCTCTCGTTTTTGTGGATTTGATAGGTTGTTTGATGCAGTTATTTAAGATGCATGATTCCCCGAATTCAGAAGGATCCCAGATTGCGAGAATTTGGTCTCACTGGCTATGACAGTGTCTCCCAGTTAATTGTTTTTTTAATTATCTGCATATTTGGGAAGACAAGTATTGTCTTTTGAATTTTGTTCTACATTGAAGTGGTAAATAATCATTCCAAAAATTCCTCGATCCAGATCTGGAATGACTCCAAAAGTCAGGACTTATTCACACAGCTCTCAAGAGCAGATGGTATCCTGTTCAAATTTTTCAGAAGGAATTTCTTGAGAAATATCTGTAATTTTTTTAACAATGGCAACCCCTTGGCACCATCCGAACCTCCTTGCAATTGCTTTGGTCATTGGTCATTTGCAGATTGCCTTGGTTACCTTTAGTTTCGATGAAAGACTCCAAATTGTCTGCAGATACTCACCGGAAGTGCAACTTTAAAAAAAATAGTGACACAAACCAGAACTGAAGAACTTAAAGGTCAACATTTTACATTTGCGTCACACTCTTCACAGGTTCACTGTTGCTTTGTGAGTACTTGGTAAATGATTGGAGAGAAGTCTGGATAGCAACCAAAACAATCACAAGGAGCTTTTCAAGCTGTGTATACCTCTTTGTGACCGAGACGTATACAGGAAGAGCAAGCAAACACTCACCAGCTGGTCGAGAAATACATATTTACACATCCCTAGTGAAGGGTGATTACCACTGACGAGTCAACTGGTCTGTGTACCTGGAACCTTAACTACTTCTAAGCTGGACCAAACTGCCCGTTAAAAAATGTATTTATATCTTTCCATAACTTTTGCCGTGGTCTTAATGAATATATGTAGGTAATAAACAATCCAGCAGAACAGTTCTCTAGCCACTCCTTCATAACACCAACTGCAATGGGCATAAATCCAGGTTTCAGAGTGTAAACTGGCAAGCATAGATAGCAGCATCATTATTTACCCAGAAAGCAAAAAGTTTATAATACAAAATGGCTTCAGGTATAAATCTACTTTGTGTTAGTTAATTAAACTCAATTTCAGAATATCTGTCATGTTAGCACAAAAGTAATAAGAACACACACACACACACGGACCTTCTGAAAGACAAAGAAACAACACGAAAACAAAAATCTAAACCTCTTTAAATCAAGTTTAAGTGGGTGATTTAAAGCTGCTGGCTTTGCCATTTTGATGATCCAGCTTTGAACCACTTCAATAACCATCTCCAATTTGTCTGTATTTCGTTACTATGGAAACCATTCTAAACATCCAATCCAGTGTCAGGATCCAGGTGGGTGGATAAAACCTGAGGATTTGGTCTAAATGCACTCTTAGGAGAAACTGCACACACACATACACAGAGAGCACATGTACAACATGACATGTGCCTTAAGACGGCAATTTATTTCCTAAGAAGGGAGCAATCTCTCTGTCAGATTCAGGTGTTCCATCCACAAAATTACTCTGAGCCCATTTTCTCTTCATTTATCCCTTTTCCTTAGTGATACTCCTTCTTTCTCGCCTTTCAGGTCGAGGAGGAGAACACGCCTACTGGCCGCCTGACACCAACCCGATTGACAGGAGCAGCATCAACGGTAACAGAAACTCATCTTCTGCATTTTCTGCTGAGTCTGTCAGAAAGCAGAATTACTTTTAGGTTCATTATTTTGCTCGATACAACAATGAGACTGAATCTCCTGAGAGCTGAGCTGGCTGTGTGTGCGTGTCTGTTGTGATACTCTTGCAGCATCATCAGCTCATCACAGCCGCTCAACTGATTCCTCTAATCACTCGACTCAGTCATGTCTAAACTTACTTTAATAAGTCGCTCTGTCCTGACAAGGAGCTCCAGCTTGCTGATTTACAGTCGGTGAGCATCGCTTCATGTTCGCCGTCGCATCGCCCGTGGCAGGAAAATTTAATTAGATTCACTATCTCGCCATCAATCAGTGTTTCTATAAAGTGGAGGAAAATAATCATCTTTATGGACAAACAGGATTAAAAGAGTGGGGTGGCATATAAATCTTCAGCTTGTAGTTTTTAATATAATGACAACAACAGCAGCGTTATTGGACTGATTTGACATAGAGAAGAAAGGATAGTTGCCTTTCATTTCTAATTAAAAACAGTACAACTAACAATATTAAACATATGAATTATTTATATTCCGTGGCTCTAACACTCTAATATGGAATACAGCTGTTTGTCTGTACTTCTAATATTGTAAATGATATAATTAATATTTTCATCCTGTCGTGGTTTTTTCTTTCCCCAGAAAGTTCTCCTACTCCTCACCTAGCAGAACTGTGAAACGTGCAAACAGGAACAAAAGAACATTTGTATTTGAAACATTGAATTTAGCTCTCGTGAACATTATCATGGTTGCAGTGGTAGCTTGATTTGCACTTTTCGAGTAATACTCAGCAATAGTCAGTGTTCAAGAACATGTTGACATCTTCCGTCTAGCATTCTGCTAAAGACCAAAGCAAACACAAGGAATTCTCTGGTGAAGCACCTGTTTTGTGACCGATTCCTCAGCGGCAGGCAACAAACTTCAGCAACAGATCGCTAGCCGATCAAAGAACATACATTTGTCCATAGCGACTGGAGGTTGCCAAGGGGTTAAAAGACGGTCTGTAAATAACTCAGGCCAAAATAATAGAATAGCAAAGACAACACTGATTTTGTCAGATAGCTATGTTGTTACAAAATTAGGACCTCAGCAGTGAAAACGAGCATGTTGATGTTGATAGAAAAGCTTTATTTCAAAATTAGCTGTAATAAAATATGAATGCTTACGCTGAAAAGGTGGGGATTTTTTTTATGTTGTTGTGAGGACACTGCGTTTGGAAGCAAAAGTAATCCATCTGTTCCACACATACCAGGAGAGCGCAATATGCAGCAGGGCCGGTCACAGAATGTGGAGCTTGATGTTAAGTGCAAAAGTGTACTTTACACACCAGACGTCTGAGTTTTGGCAACCTTACAAATGTACTACTGTTAAAATCAGCGGGACAGTCTGGTTCAGCCCAGCTCGCCATGTTTAAACCACTTTAAATACCACTTTTAAAACCCCTGGGAGAGTTTGGACTCCACCGGAGAGCATTTAGACCCGGCTAATCCAGCATCTGTGTAGTAGCAGCTGTGCATGACAGGAGAGATGAATGCTGGAAGTCAAAATCATCTTTTCAGGGTTTTGTGCTGCTTGGTCAACTATTGTTTGAAATTAAACACATAGAGAGATTTTTTTTCCCTACTGCACACAATCATTATGTTTAATACAAGGTGACTCATACTCATACCAAGAACAATAATTATGTCTAAAGTGAATGTACTCATGCAAACTGCATAGTTAACGCCACTTCTACTGATGCATATAAAAATACTATATTTGCTGTAAACTACACTACTATTGCAGCTAATAATGCTGAAACCACTATAAAAGGTAAAGCTTTGGCTGATGATATAAACCATGGTCATAATCATAACTGTCCGCTCCCGTTTCTGCTGGAGAAAGACTGTTACTCCTCCTCCGCTGGTAGGTCAGAGGTCAGGGTCTATATCTGGTCTCACTGGAGCACTGTCGGGCAGCGTGTGTGCTTGTGTATATCTGAAGATGGACTCTGACATTTTGTCAGCGCAGTTGCTGCTGCTGCTCCCGGAGGAGATCATAAATCTGTCCTCTTTGACCTCCGTTCCCCTCTGGCTTTATTGCGGGTCAGGCAGGTCGCAGCCTCGTTCATCAGCTCAACGGTATTTCATCTTTAACTCGGTGTCGTCGTTTATGTCGCAGAGCTTCCTCTCACTTGAAAAATGAGCTTGAGAAGAGTCACCTCAGATTGGTTTCATTGTGCCACAGCTCTGTAGGTCTGACGGCTTCTGTGCAGAGGTGAACCGATCCCGTCTGATGTTCTTGCCTCAACCGAGCAAAGACCTTCAGCACTGCCACTCATTCACTAAAGTTCCTCAGTTTTCTCTTCATATCTCTTGGGAAGTAGATGCTGGCAGTTGTTGTGAGAGGTCCATACCTCTCCACTCACAGCGCCAAGCTATTAAAGTTAAAAATATCTCAGTTTTAAGTGAAGGGAAACAACATCTCAAGAGTTTTAATCAAAAACATTAACTTCTTCATCTTTTATAACCCCTGTAGCTTCACTTAAGTAGCTCAGAAATGTTCAGACATTTTCTCTCTGCTGGTCAGAAAAAATGGCTTTCATGTTTATACATTAATGGAAAGCACATTAAGCATATTATACATTATGCATATTAAGTTTATATTCCTAAACTGAGAGATTAACATATTTGCTAATATGATGACAATACTGAAAAACTAAACACATCAAATTGTTGGCAAAAGTGTTGGATTTGCAGCTGTATAAACCAAAGTATTGGATAAAAAGATTTGTAATGTGGATTGTGCCCCACGCAAAGTTATTTCTGTTCATGTCTTTGTATAAGGTCAATCCATTAACTGCTGAGATGTTGCAGTTTATTTAATTTACAGCATGTGGTTTCCATAGGAGCCTCCAAAAGAACCGTCCACGTGATGCAGGTTTTACATTAACATCAACCCTTAATTAAATACTAAGGAGGCTTCAGTAATAATGTTGTGCACATAATTGGACTGTATGATAGTATTGAGTTTATCTCTCTGCTGGTATTAAGGACAGCGCTGAGTTGTTTCTCTGAAGTTTTTTAATACTCATTTACTGGATTTTAAAACTTAACAAATGAAAAAAAACCTGCTTGTTCATGAACAGTTGCAGGAACATAGTAAAAGTAGGACAAAATGTTATCCAGTATGATGTCATTGTGACTGACAGTGATGTTCAGATTAAAGCCTCATTGATGTGTATACTCTGGTTTCTCCACAGAGATTTTTTCCCCCTGGGGTGGACCTGGTCTTTGATTTGTCCCTTTGGTGCTACAGTGCTTTATGCTCCAGTCTACAAAGAATAAACTATAAGCTATAAAATAAAATTAGTCGGAATCACGCTGCATTTTGATGTCTTTGTTTGCATTGTCATCTTTGTAACTGCTCAGTTTCGCTTCCCTGCTGGATTTCTGGGCTTTGCAAGGATTTCTGTGCTCTCCGTCGCCCTTGTGTTGATTTGTTGGTGTCGTTGTGGCTTTAAACTGACTCAGCTGGCGAGAGTTTGTGATTTATTCTACACAGTTTCTCTGAGCTTCTGGGCCTGTGCTACTTTGCTGAAGGGCATCTCAGTAGAGGTTGTTACTACTCTTGTTATCATCAGTAACATACATTTTGCTCGCGGGTCAGTTTTGACTTCCTGTCAGTTGCTGCTATTGTTGCATCTTTTTGTTATTTAAAATTACGGACTCTTTTTCTACTTTATACTCAATAAAACTGTAATTTATCGTAAAAACAAATATTAATTTGATGAAAGACATTTTTGCCACGACCTTTCTTAATCTAAAAAGCTTTTTTAAGATGAAATTTAACAAGGTGCCAATAAGCGGATGAGCAGAAGACTACCATTCAACTAACTAAAATCAAATTTTTGTCTCCACGGTTACCTTTAGTTAACATCAGATGACACAGTCCTTTACATAAAACATCAAGAGTTTTAAACCTCCTGTACAAGTTTTCCTTAATGTATAAATAGGAACAAGAAAAACATTAATGGTATTCTTGTCACAGTCCGGCGAGGGCAGACTGTATGTGTTGACAAAAGGACCCAAAACGCAGACTCCAAAAACTGAACGTGGCATGGATTTAACAAAAAACAAGCCGTTTATTGAGGCTATCAAAAGGGCATTGGTGAAGCTAAACAATAACCCAAACTGGGTGAACTAAAACTAAACATGAAAAAACCTTAAACATGGTGAACTGACATAGATTCCTGAAGTAGTGACATGGATGAGCAGACGACCTGACAAAGAATGACTGAAAGCACACGGACTAAATACACACAGGAGGATAATGAGGGAAGTGGGAACACATGGAGAAACAGCTGACACACATGAACATAACGACGTCACAAGGAGAGAGTAACACTAAAAACATTGAACATAGGAACACAGGACCCCTTCAAAATAAAACAGGAAATACAATGAGACGCAGACCTGACAACATAAGACACACAGACATGAAACACACAAAGGGCAAGGGAGACTTCACAGGGGTTGAAAACACAAGGGGGAACTAATAAGCAAATGAACATAGGAAACTTAATAAGCTTAAACATACACTATAAACATCAAAATGAACTAAAACTCAAAACACTGGATCATAAGACCCAGGATCGTGACAATTCTGTACAAACGAATCTGTTCTGTCATGTAGCTATATAGCTACATGTATATGCAGTGATACAATGCACACAAGTTATTTAAGTTGTGGGATCAAGGTATTTTTCTCACGGGCATGTCATTGAACAAGTTGTTTCTCTTGTGAGAAAAATTTCATTATATTGAAGGAACTTGTGGAAAAAGATGTTTTATCTCTTGGTCGAACTAAATTGCTTATCTTGCGGGAACAACACGTTCATATTGTTGGAACAAGTATTTTGTTCTTTGTTTAACTTGTGGGAACAATTGTTTTAAATATTTATCCAGCTTGTGGGAACGAGTGTTTAACCAAGTAACTGGCGAATGCATTAGCATAACAGGAAAAGACCTGAAAGTTACCTGAAGTTTAGCCAGCTTGTTCCCACAATATAAACATCTTTGTACGCCCAGGAGCTATAAAATATTTTAAGTTAGCAAGTGACTCCTACTGATTTCAGTTCTGTTTTTCATGCTAGAGTAGCATGAATTTAATTATGTGACATTCTGAGGTGTAAATCAGACCTAATTAGCTGAGTTCTCTCCATTTTATGGTCGCTGAGTTCATCTGAAGTGAGTGGATAAGTGCTAAAGAAACAGAACTGTACCACCGCTGCACAAAAAGGAAATGCTGATTAACAGGTGATGATTGACTTGATTTAAATAATTTTTACCTTCACTTTCACATGTTTAACTTGTCACTTGTGAACAACTGTGATCATTTTTAACCAGTGGGGAAAAATTCAAAGCAATCAACGTGTGCACAGTGTAGCTGAGGTGAAGGTAGTGTCATCAATCACAGGACTTTCAGGACTTTGTAGGTCTGCTATTTTTTCATTTGATCTTTTGGACTTTTTATTTTCAGATGTTGTTTTTAGTTAGTTTTAATCACCAGAACTTCTTGGTTTGGACTTAAATGCACATTTTTCACACAAAACGCTAGAAGGTAAGACTTTCCACAAGCATACCTATTTTCTTACCATAGAGGCAGATCCTGGTCAGTAAAGGATTGAGATCACGCTGCCTGTATATAATCCATGAATGTAACCATGACATTAACCATTGGTTTCTGGACTTTACGTTTTGAATCCTCAACGTTAGCATTTCTGCAGCCACCACATTTGATTTTAGGAGCCAGATGTGACCACGTGTGGATAATAAAATCAAGCACTAATCTATCACTTAATGCTAGCAAGCATCTAATACATGTTTGTGGTAGACAGTAGAAATTCTACAATTTTACTCATAAAAATTGAAGCATAATCTTCCTTGATGGCCTGCACCACACAGGAAAACATTATATTTGGCAGGCAGATCGATTAAAATACTCTAAAAGGCGCAAACACTACACATGAATTCGCTATTGCCCTCTGTACAGCACGATTGTACAGCTGTTATAAAGGTCAATACTGTCCATAAAAATGTGCGTGCTTTTATCCATCCATGAAACTAAGCATTTTAACATGAGAGGCTGTGATGAGTGACTCGCTTTTGGAACCAGCGTCACGTGGCCACTCGAAGATCTGCAGTTTTCAGACCTGAAGGTTGACGCTTTGTTCAAAAAAGAAGTTGAACTGTCATCACTTTTTCTGGTGACATCAAAGGTTGAACTTAATATATTTTAATTACCCCATAACCTTTGCTCTCGCAAAACAATGAAAGCAGAAACTGCATCAGCTAAAACTCAGAATTCTGAAATTAAATAAAGAATTTAAAAAGAAAAAAAAGGAAGAAAGATGATGAAATTGTACTTTAAAAAGGAAAAGAAGGTGGTGTTGTGGCTTCTGTGCTGTGGCCGTAAGCTTTGATGGATTGTGGTTTTCATTGAGAGAGACAAGCAAATGGAGAGAGAAGGTGAAAGAGGAAAAGTGTCCTGCTATCTCTTTTCCTTTGTGTTTCTCTTTGTCTCATATGTACACACTTCTCTTGATATTTTGTTCATCCATCTTCTCCCTTTCTTTTTCTTTCATTCTCTCTCCCCTCTCAGTCATTTTATTGTCTCTCCATTCCTATGTTTTCCTTTCCTTTTTCCACCTCTCCAGCTCCTCCCTCTTTAACACACTTCCCTCGCCTCTGCATTTGGACTTCATGCCCCATATGTGTTTCCTATTTTCTCCCTCTCTCTGCCAAGGTCGAGTTAATGAATGACAGAGCGTGTCATCAATTCCCCTCTTTCCCTTTACACCTGTCGTACACTCATACACACACTGTGTATTGATCGGTAAAGCAGCAACAGCAGCAGCTTTGCATTTTCAGTCCAGTCAAACCACTTCTTCTTTTTCCTTTGTCTCAATTTTGGGTATCGTGGAATAACATATATTGGTTGCACAACTAAGACAGATATAAAAATGTGACTGTGGAGCAGTTAAATATAGCAATTTGCCTAAAATTTGATTCGGTATATCAACTTATAGTAGTGTTACCCTTCCTGTTCTGCTTTCCACATGATATTATGAAAAAGGTAAAACCAAATTGAAATTTCAGTAAAATTCAATCTTCTTCGAATAGAAAAAGTTAAATGATTAAATGATTTCTTTATGGCTTTATTAGTCTCTCACATTGTTGCGGAGTAATTGTGGATCAGTCTTCTTCACAACGTTGCTTCAGTTCATTGAGGCAAACGTCTCCACTTTGGGCTCGTCTGCCAAAGCACATTCCTCCAGAAATCTTGTGCTTTATTCAAACCTACGCTGTGCTGCCATCTTCTCCTCAGCTAAGAAACGCGTTCTCCTCGTAAGCCTTCCAGACAAGTCGTACTCAGTGTCTTTCTAAATATACTGTCACCATGTGACCTTAGGTTGAATTAAATTGAATTGAATTAAATTGTAAATAATCTTTGTCATTGGAGAATGATGGACGTCAAATGAACCTTCTCTGAATAGAGCAATTATTGCTTCTCTAACACACACCTGAATGCTCCTGACCAGCAAACTGACAAAACGTCTGAATTTATATAGGTGCTGAGACTTGCTGGTGATCAGTTAATGCATTTGATTAGCAGCACCTGACTGTTACCCCAACCTTATGGAAGCAGTGACTGTGCTTTTCACGGGATTTCATAGAGTTCTGTGAAAACTTTTTTTTCTTCATATTTAAGCACCTTGAGGCAGCTGTTATTGTGGGTGTATATAAATAAACTGAATTGAATATAACTGTGTCATCAGCAATCATCAAAATGTATGAAACAATTTTTGTCTTTTCTTTTTATGGTGAAATTTAGTTAGTTTAAAAGATCTAATGAGCAAAAGAAAAAGCATTAACAATTTGCCTGAGATATTACAGTATATATAATTTATTGTTGTAATGTTGGCTATATCAAGCATTTTAGGTGAAGGTTTCAGGAAAATGTTTGTTATACATAATGAATTCACAGTAAAAATGGCATAAACTTTATAAACTGATGTCATTTTAGTATATTCATTTTGAATATACAGATTTCAGTGTGCATTTATTCATGTTTCTAACTTCTGCCTCTCTTCTTGTATTTATTCCAGAGTCTCCAATTGGTCAGATGCGTCCCCCTCACGGCAGCGTCACCCCTCAGAAGAACAGCAACCTCCTGGTCATCATTGTGGTTTCTGTGGGAGCCGTCACCGTGGTCGTGGTTGTCATCGTGGCCCTCATCTGCACACGGCGCACCTCCGCCCAGCAGAGGAAGTAAGATGTTTCATTCATCTGTGTGATGGCAATAAACGGCTGTCACTGTAATGAGGCAGATGGTTAATGAGCTGCCCTGCATGTCTTGTTTATTCTCACAGAGATTTACTCTGAAATTAATGTCCCTGCCAGCTCACACAGGTCTGAATATATGTACCAAATCACAAATAACCCAGCCAGCAAAAACCTCAGCTAGATCTCTGCATGTAGACTTTATCATCCCAGGAAATGTCAGTTCATCAGGTTTTAACGTTATTTCATTGTAGTTTGTTTTGTCATGGTTTTCTTTTTATAAACACACTCAAGAGGTTTTATTTACTCTTTCAAAACCACCTGTTAGAAGTCAACTCACGCAGATGACTTTTGTAACAGCAGGAATGGCAATTATGCCTTTAAACTCGACTTCTAGCCTCCTTGAACCGATTTGTAAGAAATGCGACAGAAAAGCCGCAACTGTGTTCACAGTGCATCTTCAGTGCATTTCCATTCTCCAAATCAATATGTCTTTCATTGTGGGTGCATCAGCGATGGTCGACCACTGCAGGCACCAAGATTGCTTGGGAGAAGAATACCCTGTTTAGCCCACTGCTACAGAGACAGAACTTCAGATAAGCAAGAAATAATGAATGGATGAACAGTTTCAGTCTAGTTTGTGTTCATGAAATTGCAGTTTTTAGTATTTTTCTCAGTTTTAGTCAAAATGATTATTTATATAGTTCATGAAATTACACTTGGTATCATATAATCCACTAATAAAGTGGATTAATTTCATCTTCCTACCTTCAATCCACCTTTATTGTAATCCTGTTCATGACATCATATGGTGGCTATGAGAGCTCAACATCCTGCAAATTAAAAAACAAAACAACAAAACATCTTTAATGATTTGAAACACAGGAAAACTCCTCAAAAATACAGATACAAGTAGAAATGATGCTCTGGTTCAGAGAGTTTCTGTATAATTCCATTTATAATGTCAGTATAATTTCATAATTCTCCTCCCCACATTTCAGTGAGCATAATCTTGTTTCATAATCTTCAAGAGTTCGAGGCAGTTCAAGACATTATGCCAAATTTCATTTGAATTCATACTGTTTTATGATCCAGATGATCAGATTTGAGTACAGCTACAGGTGGAGAATTCACAGCCCTCTCCACCCCACAGTGCTTTCATTTAGTGGAAATAAACGATGATGGATGGAGTGTTTTCTTCTCCTGACCCTCCTCCCCGGTGCGTTTCTCATCCTCTGTGCAGGAAGAGAGCAAGTCACAGTGCCAGTAAGAGGAAGGGCAGCCAGAAGGACCTGCGGCCTCCGGACCTCTGGATCCACCACGAGGAGATGGAGATGAAGAACATGGAGAAAGCTCCCAGCATCGCACCGTCTGGCCACGATTCACCAATCCAGTCTTGCCAGGACCTCCCCCAGGTGGCACACAGCCAATCAGAGAGCCAGATGGGGAGCAAAAGCAGCCATTCAGGTACAGCACTGATTCTCATTTACCAATCAATTTAGTATATAATGTGTATAGCAAAGCTTCATTTAGTTACACTCATATTTTTTATGTGTTTAATTAGATTTAATCTTATAGTTTCTCTTTATTTTACATCATTACGTTTAAGATAAATGGGTTATGAATCTTGGTTTAATTAGCTGTGTAAACAGGCCTAATTAATAATGATAAAAACACAAAAGTATCAAATAAAGATCTTTTCCAAGTGGAAAATGGAACGCTAAACCTAAATCCTAATCCAAGGAAATGAAGATGTCTGAATCCCTGATTGGGTTTTGATTGTGATGTTCCAGGAGCAGATGCTGATGAGGTTTCCAGCAGTATCTCTACTTTGGAGCGTTCTCTGGCTGCCAGGAGAGGAACTCGAAGCAAAATGATGATTCCCATGGACTCGCAGCCGAGCAACACACGTAAGAAACGCAACAGAATATATGGATATTGCTACTGTGAAGCTAAGCTTTCATATATGAAGTACTATTTTGAAGCATTTTGGCCTCTGACATGGGTGTGTTTGTTTGTTTGTTTGTTTGTTTGTTTGTTTTGTTTTTTATAGCTAGAAATGCTAACTTGGTTAGCAAGCTGGATCCTAATAACTGCACAGGTGAAACACATATGTTGCTAATAAAATACTAAACTTCTCGGACAATCTGCTCAACCATTTTATTTGTCAGATAATTGCATTAAGGATGCTCCATAAAGCACTAAAGGTCCAGTTCAGTTCATCCAATTAGTCTAATTGAATTGTTGGAATCACAGACTGTATATAAATAATGAACGTAGCTTCTGGGGGATCACCCCCTGGTTTGTTGTAAAGCTTCAAATGCATCTCAGCCTCATCTGAGGCTTTTTTATACCATGCTTTATTCTCATTTTTTACTTTAATTAGTACCTTAATTTACAAAATAAACTTTGTGTTTTCTTCAATAAGACTCATAACTAGTGGTTGGGAACACACACTCATCACAAAAGTGTTTATTGAGGTCAGAGAGCACCAGAGCTGAGAGTTATTTTCTATCAGAATTCTTAATAGCCCAAAGTGTGTTTTCCAAACACAGGAGTCGCCCTCCAGTAGACATCTGGAAAACTGTGGGTTTAAGACACTTTTGCAGTGGATTCACAATCATTTAAGCTCTTCTATTTATCATGATTGTTTAGAGCTCTTTGCCTCTCGATCGCTCTCCTTCTTGGTCATGCAGCCCTCGCAGCCTGGAGGTTTGTTGCGGCTCATTGTCCTGCTGAAAACAAACAGTGTTCCCAGGGATGGTGTGAGCATTGTATCACCATATGCTTCACAGCAGGAACCTCCTTTACTACATCTCACAAACACATAAAACCAAAGTTCCTATGACATCAAAGCCCTGATTTCCACTGGTCTGACGTCTATTCCTTTTCTCTCTTCTTCCAAATAGTTCTCTTCTTCTGCATATCATTGCCGTTCTGTAGTTCAGCTATGATGGCCTGATTTTCACAGTCAAACTAAGAGTGTTTGATCTTTGAAACAGCGACTAAATTCCTTTTAAGGAGGATGGAGGGATGGTAGTGGCATAATTAAGATGACTTTTACCCAGGAGACATGAGTTTGAGATCCATGCGGGACTCTTTTTCTTTATTGCACAGTTTTCTATTCTTTTTGGTTGCTTTTTTCTAGGTTAGTAGTCCATCAGAGATTTTATATGCACTTATTCACACAACTGCAAAAGCCCTGATGCTTTGGTTACTTTCTGTTCATTGGTGATGTGCAATGACTGATTATTATTAATATCAATTATTTTATGGACTAAAAAAATCCCCCAAGTACTGGATTTGATGGAAAGCGTTACAAAATCCTCTCTCTTGTTGCAACTAAGCTCTGACTCGGATCCATCGATAAATTGATTGTCATCATCCAGGGTGAAACTTTTGTATGTCTTGGGCAACACAAACTTTTAGCCTCCTCCTTTCCTGAGAAGTGGTTCAGCTCTAAGTTTACCAAATTGGGTCACCTATAAATTCATTTATCTTCTGATGGTGGGGTCAGGTTTGTTCTACCTCGTGGTGCTTTAGTCCTTATCCACCTTATCTAGCTACAATTTGTTTATGGTTCATGGAGCTCGCCCTTGAAACCTGACAATATAGCCATTATTTTATTATAATAAAGCTTCTGTGCTTCTACTAAGAATATGGGAATTTTGACACTATTACTTGGTTTTGATGCCATTATTTCCAGACACTTAATTTTCAGTCAGAGTGGCTGGTAGTTGTGAAATAGTACATACAGAAGAGCACTGAATTTGTTCATAGTTGCTGGGAAAATGTAGAACGCTAACACACAAACCCAGTGACCAATCAGTCAGTGACCTTTTCTCCAAAGCAACTCAGGTAGTCAGTAATGTCTAATTTGTGTAGGGTGACTTTACTGCACCACAGTAAAGTGACCAGCTTCAGTTAACCTGAAACTAGCAATGAGTGGATAAACATCAGTTAGCTAGCCTACATTATCTGAGGTAGTAATTGTTCTTCATTTCTCAAGGTTACGGGTTAAATAACAGTTGTTATTTTAAACATCAGGAAAAATATGGAAAATCACTTTCCTGAAAATTGGTGAAGCTCACACATGCATTCTTATTTCTGTCTAAAGCTAGTGAGATATCATCACATTTGATGTAAAATCTGTGACTGGAAATTTCAAAATCACATATAATTAAAGAGCTCTGCAGTTTCTCAGATTAACTTGGGAGCATACTGAACTGAACGTATTTTACATTATGCTCAATATACGTCATTGCTCTTGCTATTGGTGCTTGAGCTTTCACATGGTACCTCCAGATGATGTCTCCAGTGGCCAGTTGCCTTAGGGTGATGATGATGATGATGATGATGATGATAGTCAGAGAGTTCATCTTTCTTTGACTTTCCAACTTTCTTTGGGAGGTTTAGATGTAAAAAGTCTTTCAGGCAAAAGCAAAGTTGAAGAGAGAGGCGTTCACACTTGCACCAACTTTCTCACACTGATAATTAGCCTGTTCATTCCCTCAGAACGACTCAGAGGACAGAGTGGAGGGGAGATCTGAGGACACGCCAGTGACGAGGGGATGAGCCTGGGAAAGACAAAATGAGGAAGGAGAGGCAAGCAGCAAAAAACTGGAAGAGAGTTGGCAAGATGAAGCGGGAAAAAGGAATGTTGCTGTGAAAACTCAAAGATTCGGTTTACAGTGTGCGACTCCAGCAGTGGCTCTGATCAGATCACATGAGGGGTTTCACAAGAGCAGCTTCAGCCAGTCAACACGGCTGTGACTGTAAAAGTTTTACCAAAGACATGATTGCATTTGTACTTTTCTTTGTCACTCACACTGATTAATGAGTACTGAGCCATTAAATTCCGTGTTCTACAACCACCTAATGGAGTCTGGTGAAGTTAAACAGCAGTTTACGGTTGGCTGGTCAGCACAACTTTAATTTTAAAGACGTTTATTGTAATGCATACCACACTATCTAAAAACAGACCCCTAAATTCTGCACTCTGTTTGGATGAATTTAAAGCATTAGTCTGTAACAGTGAGTCATCAGTGTAGAAAGAATAGCTGGAGTTTGATACAAACTGAGTTTTCTATCTCATTCACTACTGTTTTTCTCCAGATATCATCGTATCTCAAAGATAATTTGGCTATACCTCTTTAGGGTGTTATTCCCTGTATCAGAACTGGCTGTTTTCGATATTAAAATACTTCATTTAAAGGCACATTCTGCAAAGAGGTCTCTAGTGATCACTGCTGTGTAATTTGGCAGATTTGCAGTTTTAGAAATGATTCTTTGACTTAAGTACTCTAACTCATCATAATTCTCATGGAAAAAAACAATAAGTTGGTAGCACCTTGTAGAAGCTTTTCAGTTCATAGCATAAGGCCCTGTTCCTCTCAGAGAAGACTGTGGATAAAAGGAGCATGGCCACCGTGACATTAGCAGTTTCATATTATTGATATTACCATCTTTTTTAATATTATAATATTATCTAATATTTGAGTATTTGGAGAGGGTCTGCGATACATTGGCAGCCTGTCCAGACTGTACCCCAGCTCCTGCTCTATGAAAGCTAGAATAGGCTCTAGCCCAACAGTGAGGGACCAACATCCCAAACAAAATCAGTGACTTTCATTGATGCCTAGAAATGTCTGTCAGCTATCACTGACTGACTGACTGTGTCAGCAGTTCCCTAAAACACAAAAGTTATGGTCATAACCCAAAATGTAGGTTACAGTAAGCCAACACAACCAGCACTCACAAACATGAAACAGACCTATATCAAACACCATCCCTTCAAACAGCACACAGCTGATGGCTTAGCCAAGGCTGAGATCTTAATAGAAACATAAAGTCACTGTAATGCCCCAGTCTTGCCACTAAAAACACCCACCCAAATGATTACCTCTTGTTACATGATTTAGGAAAGTACAAACTGACGGTCAGGATTAAAATCCTTTACTTAAACCATTTAACGCCATTAGAAGAATGTTAACTCTGGTTTAAAGGGTCAGTCCAAGTCATCTCCTCCAGCATTTCTTCAGACACGTCATGTCCCTTCATTTTTATCATACCCCTTTTGAAGCTCTTGCAGTCCTTAATTACACCAGTCTCCTGTCATTTCCATAAGACACCTTTTAACTGTAGCACTTGTGAAGTCTCTAAAGCCGTCTAAGACTATGTCAAATTCTGTTTGATGTGCATCACCCTCGTCGGCTCATCCTCGCACCAACTCTGTCCCACTTCCAGAATCGCAGTGACACCTCCTCCTGTCCCAGCACCCATCGCACTGTGGGTGGAGTTCATAGTCTAGGCACTTGATTTTAAACAGCTGTTTGTATAAAACTGTTTCCTTTCACCATGAGGTTGATGCAGAACATCTGCAGAATCTCTGTGATACCAAATTGTGTCTATGAACCAGTTTTGTGCACAGAAGCAGGTTGTCTAATTACGGTGTTCTCTCTCTGTGGAGTGAATATGTTTTCAGTCACATCAGTGAGCAGAATGTTTCACATTGTAATTACCCTGCTCTCAGTCTGGCTGCATGTCTTGAAGGATTTGTGTCCTCTTTTCTCTCTTTTATTTCTTCTTCTTCTGATGTGCAGTTGCTGCTGTTGTTTAACCCAGTTGTAACAAACTGGAGTCAGGTGAAGCGTAGCATCCAGGTTATAATGCTGTGTGGTTATTTCTGGAGAGAGTGAGTCAGCGGCCAAGTGATAATTCTTGTTAGCATGTGACAAGGACTGTGAGTTTACATAAATGTGGGTGTTTGTGATATGTGGGTCACCGTAAAGCAGGAAAACCCTCTGGCTTCCTCTGCCAACACTCAGACCTGTTTCCTATTCTATTTTTTCCCTCTTCCTATCTTTTTTATTTGCTGTCATGTTTCACATTTCATAGATTTTCCTTTTAT